GGCCTGGTGGTCATTGATTTTGTTCTTGGGAAGTAACTGCTTCAAAATTTGCTATCTGCTGCTATCCAGTTTCACCAGCAGCTTTTTACCAGCAGCTTCCAGAACACGAATGTTGTTTCCTATGCTTATCTATTGGAGACCCAGGGTTTGGTTATTGCAACACCATTTGGCCAACAAAGTTTGTTAAACTTCATTACAGACTTTTTGGCAAGCAAGTCAAGTCATTACCTGAACCAAATAAAGTATGTTTAAAAGCCATTCTCATATTATGCAAGACTTGTTTTAAAATTAACTTGTCGGCCTACATGAAGATTTAGGACAGACCTTGAGAAGAAAAACACCAAACAATGTAAATTTATTATTTGATCACGTCCAGTGACTTGGAGGTAATTTGTACTAGTTTAATCTGGTCACTCTTTAAATAGCTGCCAGTTTTCAAAAAAGCCAATGCTTGTTCACGATGAAGCAATTTCAAACCTTTTTGTAGAGAATTAAGCCCAAAAATGACAGGACATATACCTCGTGTGTTGAGAATTCAGAAAAACAAAACTAAAAGAGGAAGGCAATCTTAAGGCTTTGATATTAAGATTCAATTTTTTATTAATCCTCATCACATCTCAAAAATACTTTTATATCCATTTAAACTGACTAGTGATGATGAATTTTTTTTTAGCACGGCCGAGTGAATGAACTTTAATTGCCCCTGATTTTGGAAAGGCCAATGCAGTAAGCAGTAGCAGGAGACAACACATTCATTAAATACAGTATGAACAGTATTTCATATGCAAAGTAAAATACTTTTGACAGAATAATTGGAATCATCTACTATTTTTTCTTTTGAATAGGCAATTGTAACCATGTGCAGATGTAGCATATATCTGTACCCATACTCTTAAATCTAGCTACCTGGTCTCTATGAAAATGACTTTATAGATATAAACAAACACATACTCCTAAAAAACATTCTGTATTTCATATCTCTTGCTAAATTCCTTTATCATAATATTGATATTCTTGCATCTTGAAATAATGTGTGTGTGTTTATTTACTTATTTATTATTTATTAATTAAATTTAGTGCCCATCTTACATAAGGTAACTCAGGGTGGCTTACAGTCATAAAAATATATCTGCATTAAAACAGAAATAAATTAAAACCAAAGATTAAAATCTAAGGACACATGGGGAGGGCAGGGGCAGAATGGGGGAGGTGGATCTGTTGCTACGCGATCAACCACCTATTTGAGGTGAATCCTTTATAGCTAAATTAAATTAAATAAATAAGTTTTATCAGATTCATAGTAGATAAATTACTGCTCTGACATTTTCTATCAGATGAAAAGGACAGCTTTTTTAAATATCTCTTTAGTTGCTTGTGAATTAATACTTTCCAACAGATATCCAGGCAGAAGAAATTCCTTTTTCTCTGACCAATAAACTAGAGATAAAGTACAAAGCAGATTGGTACAGGTGGCATTTGTTGAAATTGTGATTTGTGTAAGTTCACAAATGCTCAGAATAGCTATTGTGTTTGAAGGGTATATATAAAAAGCATGGGCAGCTGGGAGAAAAATGGAGGCCAATCAGCATCATTGGCACGTGAAAGCCTCACCTCCTGCCCTTAAAAAGAACAGCATTCAGTAGAAAATATGCAGTTTTGAGATTTCTTACTCCTTCCCATTAAAAGGGGGGTGAAATGAAAATAGAAATGGGTTAACAACTACCAAATAATAACTGTTAGTGGAAAAATAAGCTATTTTTTTTCTGCCAGGTTTCTTAAGCGATTACAATGTGCCCAATGGGTAGAAAGGCAATAGTTAAATGATACATATTCATATAGGATAAATATACTAGAAAGTCTAATATAAATTACATATTTGTATAGCACAAATATAGCAGAAAGTTCAATATTTATAAATATTACTTTCAGTATTGTTTACAGTAACCTGGTAAGACAAATTGTATTATCATCCCCTTTATACGGGATGAAATTGAGAAAGCCTACTCAATATATAGCTTTCTAACACAAAACTATTCTATTACCGTGTTTCTCATATAATAAGGCTGGGTCTTATTTTATTTTGAGCCCCGAAAAAATGGCTAGGCCATCTTTTCGGGGGTGACTTAATTCCCCCCCCTTGCATCTTCGGGCGAGCGGTGACGGCTTGGATGTTGACCTCGGCGTTGGTGGGGCACTTAGTATCGGGGTCAACGCAGGCAGCACCATATCCGGGTGTGCAACAAAAGTACTTCCTAACGGCAAGCCCCCCCACCATTCCCCCCCATTTCGCATGTTTTAATATAGGCCTTAATTTGGGGGGAGGGGCTTAATTTCATTTCATGCCTATAAAACATGCTGGGACTTCCTATTGGGGGAGGCCGTATTGTTGGAGAAACAGGGTACATTACACTAGTTATCTTCTGTCATTTCATCCTCTTATACTTTAAACATTAATACTGTATCTTAAAAGATGCTTATTAGGTACCTCCCATGAAAACAAACACCAACCTTAATTGAAATCAGAAGAAATATAGCATCATTATCAATCTAGTGCCTTCACCCTGATAGATACTTTTCCTCCCCAGAGTTTATGAAGCATACTAAACTAAAGCCAAATTAAGAGAGTATTATGATCGCCAAGCATAGTCACAAATCTAAGTGAGTTTAATGGCCTATGCAGAGAGGTAATGATGGCCGTTTCAGCTTATACCTCAGTTCACAACAGTTGTTTTCGGTAAACATACTCAGCATCATTACAAGTTCCCCCACATTTTGGTCACATATTAAAGAAAGCCACTGAAAATTTCAATTTCAGACCAAGCAAACTGAATTCTTGACAGTTGTGAAGAATATCTTTCACTGCAAAATATCATATACCGTTTCATTCTTTTAAAAATCCCAAAGTAGATTAGAATAAAGTAACAAAAATACAATATCACATGCAGCAATATACATACCTTTAGTAGAATACTTTTTCCTGCACCAAAAACAGCCTTGGGATTTTGAGTTTCAGTGGAAGAATGGAATGGAGAAGAAAGATATTACTTAAAAAGTATACAGGATAGGTGGGTATGTTTCAGGCTACCTTTCAACTCAAAAGTTCTCTTTTAACTGATTTTTGCTACTGGAGCAGAGAAAACAATTGTTTATATATCTATTCTTTCTCTATATGCAAATGGAGCAAAAAAAACAAAACACCTCAGTTGTTTACGCAAGTGTTGAAACCCAATAACTTTTCATTGAACCTCTCCACTCCCTCCCCCAAAACTACCCAGTATATGCAGGCAGCATAAATTTTGACTAACATAGTGATTGCATCAATTTTCTGAAAGTTCTGCTGTAACTTTCATTGTCCAAAGGGCATTGCATACTGTCAATATACATCAATCCTACTGCAAAAGGACAACAGAAGATACAGGAAAGTTAACTGACCAAGATCAGATGGGGTCCCCACTGACCAAATAGAAAGTTTGATAAACTACTTGGAAACTGTTGAAGTTACCCTGAACTATTTCCACTTTTTCTATTCAAGGCCTATATCAGTACTTTAATCTCTTTCTTTTCTTTCCAAATGCATGCCATTCTTTATTGAAAATGTTTGTCAATCATGATCATACAGATATTCAGATTTCAGATCAAACAATGTGACTGCAAGCTCCTCAGGGCACAGATCTTACTATTCTGTGCAATGAATGAGCACGGTGTGTACAGTGTAACTGGCAGAATGTACAGACATGGGATACTTGAATGCATGCATTTCAAGGTAGTCAATCCTCTCCAGCTTAATTAACAGGTCATAAAATGAACTATCAGCTTCTATGATTAGAAACATTTAATTAAAATTTGCCCAAGGTTAAGCAAACAAACTTCATGGCACAACATGAATTTGAACTCAAATAATTGTAGTTCAGATGATTATCCTTGTATTTCCCCACATCATCTGCCAGTAATAGTTATGTTTTAGTAAAAAGGAAAACATTTTAAAAGAACAGCTGTTTGTATCCAAGATATTCTATCTGGCACAGCCATTCACAGATGAGAAGCATCACCTTTAGTGAAATCCACAAGTGAAACATTCCTAAGAGAGAAAGTCTCCATGGAGATGCTCCTGAAAGTCTTATGTATCCAGTAGCAACTGCTGGGAGTCTGGAGTAAGTTAAACTCACAAAAACTGAAGCAAATCTAGATTCAAATCCTCCTTCTACCCTGATAGTCACCTGGTTAATCAGGGCTTGGCACTTACACCCAGAGGATTGTTTCAGTTTAAAGAAAAAGAGGGCTGAGCAAGAAATTTATACAGCAAACTTATATTGAAATATACATATAATACATCTTCCTTTCCTTTCCTTCTTCCTTCCTCTCCTGGTGAGTGCCTGGACAAGTGCTTAAGAGTTTTCTTACAAGAAAAAAATTCCCCTCTTCCTAGGGCTGAGAGAGAGGGACTAGCCCAAAGTCTCGGAGCTGGCTTTGTGCAAAGGTGCGGACTATAAATCACAACTCCCTGGTTTCTACTCTCGTGCCTCTCTGTTTTCTCTCGAATTTAAATTGCCATTTTGGAAACTCCCGAGTTCTCATGCACTGCAATATGTTCACACGGTACTAAAACGAAGGTCCCGCGTTTACCAAGCATTCCTCTGGGGATTACACCCCGAGTGGGGCGGGAAAAGGCCTGCGAAAGTGATCATTGTACACAGCAACCTTTCCAGTTTCTCCTATCGTATGAGAAGAAGGACGAGGGGGGTGGGGTGGGCTCCGCACATCGGTCTTCTCCGTCAGGAGCGGCTGCAACCCCACTCCGAGTCTCCCCGCAACGCAGAAAACCTTCGCTCCTCAACTGGAACCGCGGTCACTCCCACATAGCCAGCTTGGCGTTCACGTGCTAGCCTGCAGCTCTTCCACGGGAAAGCTCCTCCTCCATTGGTTGGCAAGGAACATTCGAAGCGCGCCCATTGGCTAGCGCGCAGCTCACACCCCTGCAGGAGCGTCTGTGGAGGAAACGAGTCTTCTTCGCAAGTTCTGTAACTGGATCGGAGCTGCGAGGGAAGCAGGAGGAGGAATTGGTGTGCTAGGGCGGAGGGGAACGGATCATCTTTAGCAATTGCAGTAACCGCTTGCTCTACGTATAACTCTCAGTTAGAAGGCGCTAAACGCTGATCGGGGGGGTGGGGAGAAACAATCGGAGACCTTGAAGTACCTTTTAAGCATCCTGAAATTTCCAGGTATTAAGTGGGAGAAGAGGAAAATTTAACCTCTAGCATACTTGTTTCAAAATGGGTTGAGCCGGCGATTTCTCAGTGTTTGCTTCCGAGGTTGGCTTTGGAATTGAGCATAGAAGAAATGCAAATGTATACTTAGATAGCGTACCCAAGGAGCAGTAATCCTATATCCGGGTTAGCATAGCTCGTGTTCCTGGTGGGTAGGCGGGTAGATGAGCGCGCGGAAAAGAAAAAAAAAAGTCTAAAATCGGTGAATATAACAGGAGCGGGCTACGATCTAAAGACGATTCATAGAAGGGAGCGTATTTAAAAATCGTGCATTTGGAATGAATGGCCTTGGAAGCGAAATAGCTTTGAGTTTCGCAAATGGCTCGCTCGTGTCCTGTATGTTATGTGAAATGCTGCTTTCCGCGCCTGGTTACTGCGAAACAGTTTGGGAAGAAGCTTTACTGATACTTTCATTGAACAACCCACCCCCACCCCCCCCAATGCTTGGATGGATTCTTTGAATGTTGAAAGAAAGGGACGCACTAGTTGCTCGGAGGAATTAAAAGCATCGGATTTTTTTTTTTAAAAAAGTGACCTGACAAGGTGCGGATCGCAGGTCTTGGATTTTCTAGGTGGACGAATGAGGCCCCCATCTGGCCATGGTCGCCTTACTTGCAAGCTCGGAGCACGTTATACAATTCATTCGTGGGGTGCGTGTGAATGATTGATCTGCTGTTTGGGGAGGGATCCAATGGAATGTTTCCATAAACTTCTCTTTAAAAGTCGTGCAAATAGCAAAAGGGTTTTAAGGTGCAAATTGACCCCAATGAAGCCTTCGTTTTTTTAAAAGAGTTTGTTCAGCTGTAGGGCCGGCTGAAATGAATGGGAGCCACCTATGAGAAAGCATGTTTGGGGACAGCCTGGTGTCCTTCAGGCCGTTTCTTCCAAAAGAAGGTGGGAGATCTCTGAGGGGGTATGGAGATGTTTCTTGGTCTGTATCTTGCCTCCTTTTAGAGCTTCGAAGCTAGTTGCTAGTTTCCTTTGGCATGGGAGGGACTGATTTGGTGCTTGATTCAGATAAACTCACCTACCATACCTTCTTGTTTTAGGGAATGAATTTGTAATACCTGCAGGATGTGAAATTCTGGTATACTTCTTGTCTTCTGCCCCACAGCTTGAAGCAGCAATCCAGTTCATCTCCTATGCACCTATGAGGTATGTCAAACATATTTTTTTAAGAAGCAAGAAGAATCTTTTGAAAGTTAATTTTCTCTTGTCCACAATCACTTATATATTAATTCAATGAGATTTACTCCCAGATAAATATATTTTTGTAGACATACAACTCATATTTATATGTAGTTTGCACGGCTGTATACAAAATATGTCAATATCTTGACATATTTAAATCACCCCAGGGAATTCTGGAGTTCTTTGTTCTTTGCGATGCTGTCAGATATCCATAGTCCTTTAATTAGCATACGACTATATTCTCGAAACAGTGAAAATGTATTTTGAGTTTGTGTGCTGTATATAGGATCAGTCTGCACTTCTGTATTACGACTGTAATAGACCAGGGGGACACCTGACATCACAAATCCTTCCTTCAAATATCCAGGGGTATAGATTTCCTGTTGCTGACTTGTTTGTATTAGTAGAAGGATGACTAACTGTAAAACCCTTAGCAAATCCCAAAATGTAATACCTGATCTAATCAGTGAACTATTTTTAGTAAATATCGATAAGATAAATATTTAGTTTTAAACAAGACTGGTAATCTAGCTGAGATTGCATAAGTAGGAATGGATGCTGTCATTACAAAATGTCAAATTTCCATACTAATTAACCATACAATTAACATGCATTTCATACAATTAACCATGAATCCCATTGTTCCCTTATGTTTTCATTCATTTTCATATTCCAAGGAGGCCAAGTCAGGCACATTTATAATTAACGAAGATAGAAAAGGGGTGCACCACTCCTGCTTTTCCCCACATTTACAACAGAAGCATGCTTTCTAAATTTTAGATGCTGTATTTAAATGGCACAACAAATGGCTGCTGTTTTCAGAGGTAGCACTTTTCAGAGGTAGTCTTGCTGGAAATCAACATGATGGCCTAAAAGGATCTTGACATAATCTAGTCATTACAATTTTTGGTCAAAGACCAAAAAAAGAAAAAAAACCAATATAATCCAATAATGCAATGCAATGGAGAGTTAGCATATTAGAGGGAGAAAAATTAATGCTAATCGTTAAATGTTGGTGGCCTTCTACCAGAGTTATAATTAATTATCCAGCATATTCTGATAGTTGAAATTGATCAAAATGAAACAAAGTTCACAGAAATATTGGTTGATTGATCCATTCATAAAATGTGCATTTCAGGCACTTAATTCACTTAATAAGGAGGGTAAGCATTAATTCATAGTGCCAAGTATGCTACTAAAGGGTAGCTCAGCAACACTTATGAAATTGTCCTGATGGCCACATCCAAGTAGGACAGAAGTATTCTAAGTAACATCCCTTTTAATAATATCCCATTCACACATGCAGGAATAATAATATTTTTTAAAAACAATAGTGCTTGTTAGTGTAAGTGCCTTCCTGTGCAGAACAGAGAGAGAGAGTGTAAGAGTTCCAATTATATCTTAATAAAAATCAGCTGCAAAGGCCCCCATAAGAATGGGTTGAAACGTTGAGTAAGCAGATCCCTATCAAGGATCCTCTGTTTGGCCTCTAGCATGATTTTCTCTGATCCAAGCATAAGCAGTGAATGAGCTGAGAAGCTGGAGTTAAAAAAAAAATCCAAGGATATATTTTTTTCTAAGAAGAGGCAGAAAGGGTTGGTTGAACTAAGGACTCAACCCAGAAACTTAATTTTAGGTAATATTCAGATTTTCCATAGTGTCACAACCCACGTCCAAAAGAACTTGTTTCACCTGGATCACTAAATATAAAGCATTCTGATGCATTTTGACTGAGTTACTTCGATAATCTTCATAACTTTATTTACTTACCGGTATTTACTTTAATCTGCAAAAGCAATTCCTAGGCCAACAGTGACCTCAGTGGTTTGATACTCACCTCTCTCCTTCAAAAAGTCAGCATAATAACATAAATTGAATAAATTTGGGATGTGTAATTTATATACCGTGTTTCTCACATAATAAGGGCGGGGCCTTTTTTTTTTTTGCCCCCGGAAACCCGGGTAGGGCGTCTTTTCCGGGGGGGACTTAACCCCCCCCCCCCCGTTGCATCCTCGGGTGGGCGGGCGGCGACAGCTTGGATGTTCGGGAGACCTTCCATCACCGTTGCTTTTCCTTCTCGCTTGCTGCCGCGGCGTCACAGTAACGCCGCGGCGTTTGGCGCAGCCACGTGCGGTCAGTCAGGGCTGCTCCCTGCAACCGGAGCCCTGAGGAGACACTTGGCTTCAGGCGCTCCTGTCGCCGCCTTCCCTTTGCCTTCGAAGGTAAAGCGAATTATTTTAAAAACCTCCGCTCATCCCATCAGGGCCGCGCCGGAGCCGTGCGAGCTGGGCAGAGCCGGGAAAGCGAGCCGCGGGTGTTTCCTGGTTCTGCCCAGCCCGCACGGCTCTGCCGCGGCCCTGGCGGGATGAGCAGAGGTTTTTAAAATAATTCACTTTACCTTCGAAGGCGGGACAGGAGCGCCTGAAGCCAAGTATACCAACAACAAAAGGCAAATCCTCAAGGTGGGCTGGAGGGAGGTGGCTACGTGCCCCCCGGGCTTCAATGCAAGGTCCTGACTTGCAGCATCCTGCCGTTGCCACCACGTCCTTTTCGCCGCCGCCTCCCTCTCCGACTGCGAAACTCGTGTGCTTCGCCAAACGCTCCGAGCGAGGCGAGCTCTTTCATACATAGAGAGAGAGAGAGAGGGAAAGAGGCCGCCCGCTTTTTATCACGCCGCCGCCGCACCACTGGCTCTAGGCCAAACTCCGGGCCTCGCTTGGAAAGCAAATACCGCGCATTAGAGGAAAAGAGGTGCAAACCTCCTTCTGCCTCGCTGGTGCTCAGGGCAGGTTCGGGGGGGGGGGGGGGCTGCAGCGAGGCGCGTTTTGCGCGCCTACCCCGAAAGGCTGCAGAAGCGGCGCCTCTAGTTTCTAGGCCGTGGGGGATGGCGGCTGCTTTGGAGCTGCTCTTGCGGGACGAGGTGACAGCCGGTGCGGTGGCTGAAGTCAAGCCAGAGCTGCGCCGAAGAGGTAAAACGCGCAACCCGTTTTGGCGACAGCGATGCTTCTTGAAGTTAGCCCTCCTTGGGGTGGAAAGTTGGCGGTGGGGGGGCGGTGAAGTTTCTTCTCGCCTTCAAAAACCCCGAAAAGGAAGGCGGGGAAAAAGCAGGAATAGTCACCTCGCGTTGCCTGTTAGGTGCTCCTCCTGCGCGGCCCTGGAGGTTACGGAGGAGGGCGCCTCTGGGGCCTCCATGATTGTGTGCGAATCCGGTCTTTATCTTGGGGGACCGCGTAATCCTGACCCCGAGATCCTGTGCACGCCTTCCCGCAATTTCCCTGACCTGTACATGCTTGCAGGTCAGGCTTGGCCGAGGGTCAGTGTCTTTGCAATCCATTCCTTGGGGTAGGGTACATTCCCCGCTTGAAGGCAAAGGGAAGGCAGCCACAGGAGCGCCTGAAGCCAAGTGTCTCCTCAGGGCTCCGGTTGGAGGGAGGAGCCCTGACTGGCTGCACGTGGTTGCACCAAACGTGGTTGCTGTAACGCCACGGCAGCAAGGGAGAAGGGAAAGCAACGGTGGTTGAAGGTCTCCCGATATGAAGTGCTCCACCAACGCAGGCAGCACCATATCCGGGCATGCAACAAAGTACTTCCTAACGGCAAGCCCCCCCCCCGCCATTCCCCCCCCATTTCGCATGTTTAATATGGGCCTTAATTTGGGGGGAGGGGCTTAATTTGATTTTATGCCAATAAATCATGCTGGGGCTTCCTATTGGTGGAGGCCGTATTGTTGGAGAAACACGGTATGTGTGTATGTATATGTGTGTGTATACACACACACACACACACTACTGAAAAATACAGATAGCCATTGGGTTATGATGGCAATTGGGACTGGGATTGCATTACTAAGCACCGTTATTGTAAAGGTCATGTGACTGCATCACTTGGCGATGGCAATTCTGGGCAGTTTTGGTTGCTGTTGTAACCCCAACACATGCAGGTTATTATGTGGGATGAGACGGAAGTCCTAGGTAAATAGCATGGGATGCTGTGGGGGGATGGAGACTGGGGAGAACCTGGGAAGGCCAGTGGAATCATGAGCAGGAAGGGCAGGTACTACAAGTGGGAGAAAAAGTGAGACCAACACTGGAGTAACTTGTGACCTTCTCTACTAGCTTTCCCGTTAAATTTGCTTGTGGGATGCCAGCAGCAAAGGTCACCAATGGCAATCACATAACTGTAGCACCCTGCAACATTGTAATTGTACACTGAATTGTGAACATGACCACTGAGCTTCTATGATGGCCGGAATTCTGATGACAAGTCATATGTCCACTGTTTCAGTACTGCTATAGCTTTAAACAGGCGCTGAATAAATGCACATAAACTGAGGACTAGCTGTGTAAATTGAATGCATTGTTAAAATATGTCAGGAACAATTATAGAGGGGTTTTGTGCCGTGGTTGTAAATAGTAAAGAAACTAATATCGTAAAGAAAGAAAGAAACCTTAATAGGAGCCAGCAGCAAGGGGTGTGTTTGCTTATTTGTGTTATCTATTGGCAGCACCCTTTGCT